CTAGCAGAGGAAGGCAATCCACGAGGCCAACTGGGCTTAGGTATTCTACACGCTGCTGGCATCGGAGTCAATGTCAGTGTTCCTCAGGCCATCATCTATTTAACTTTTGCGGCTCTTGGCGGTGACGAGCTCGCAGAAATGGCAATGGTTCGTAACTACAATCTTTATACTCGATCTTAGTGAATTACAGCGTTTAAGTGTAATAGTTTATGCACTATCTATGTGCTTAGTTTTATGCGGTTTTGGGTAGTTTTGAAAATGTATTTATAATTTGAGTTACTAGACATGTTTGATAGTTTTTTTTGTTCTGAACACGCTTTGTTATCTGGTACATGCTGTTTCATTGGAAATTTTGGCTTTGGTGAAGCTTTTATCCTCTTCCTTTTACCTGGGAAACTAATTAGTTTATGAAAGAGGACATAAGGTATTTGTACAGTCCGATCCTGAGATAGTCGATGAATGGTTTTTGTAGGTACAAATAGTCTTTTTGCTTGAAGGTGTAGCTGTTTCGTTCATCTTTAATATGCGCTGTCTTTGGGAAATCGAACGCTTGGTAAACGCCGTTAAAAGCTTGATCTTTGCTTAATTTTTCTTGGAATGTCGTTCTTCAAGACATCACAAAGCGTGCCAATGCGGTGAACTATATGCTGTACAAAGCCGTCAAAGGTTATGTCTTGAACTTGAGCAGAATCTATGACACTAAGACCTAGTGTAATTCAAACACAATTTGTATGTACCTCTCTTTCGCGAAGGGTTACCGATACCTGACTGGAATCGGTGTGGAATCAAATTGTGAAACGGCTCTGGCCTATTATCGCCGAGTGGCAGGTAGAGTTGCAGAGCAAGTGGAGAACCGCGTGAAGGCGGGTGCGGGCCCCATACTGCTGGGACCAACAGTGGTGCGCATCAATCTGTTGGAGGAACGCGAACAGGCTGTCGGTGGTACTGCGCTCTCGAACTACTTTATCTCTGATGACATCCTCTCCTACTATAAATTTGTTGCTGACTCCAACAATGTCACTGCTCAGGTCACGTTGGGTCAACTCTACTACAATGGCCAGCATGGCATCGATCTTAATCATAAGCTCGCCCTTTACTACTTCAAACGTGCTGCCGAATCCGGTAGCTCTCTTGCAATGGCCTATCTTGGCGAGGTTAATGCCCATTATGCAGATACTTGATGCATTTCCACTTCGGGAAGTGACTCAATGCTGTGTAATTTTTTTCAAGATGTACCTTGTGGGTAGCCCACAAGTACCAAAGGATGAGGCCTTGGCCCTCAACTATCTACAGCGTGCTGTATCCGCCGGAAATCCTATGGCACTTACTGGCCTAGGGTTAGCTTACCTCCACGGTCGGGCGGGCTTAACACCGGATCCGGTCAAAGCGATGGATTTTTTCGTAAAGGCGGCCGATCAAGGTTGGCCGGAGGCACAACTTCAATTAGGCCTTTTATTCATGGGTAAGCTGAGTTTGAAATTCTCAGCAGGGGTATACTTTAGGCACGCTAGGTTGGAAAGCTGACTATAAAATGGCCTTGAAATACTTCACTTTGGCCTCACAGCAAGGGAACACACTTGCATTCTACAACCTGGGACAGATGCATGCCACTGGGATGGGCGTGTTCCGTTCATGTGGCACCGCTACCGAGGTATGTCTGTACCCATCATGAAAGTTAAAGCGCCTCTACGCAGTAAAATGCGCTTAAAACTGTCATCATTACAGCTGTTCAAAAATGTGGCTGAGCGGGGACGGTGGTCTCAACTACTTACGTCAGCCTATCTTGAGTACTGGTCTGGCAATCACGAGGTCGCCTTCCTTCAATATGTCGCCCTTGCTGAACTTGGCTACGAGGTCGCGCAGAGCAATGCTGCCTTAATTCTCGAAGAAGGTATGTCTCATGAGAGATACTCACCCCTTCTAGTAAAGACTTTTGTATTTAATCTTCACCTCTATTCCAGACAATATCGACTTCGTTCCAGATAATGAGCGTTACAAGCGTGCATTTGTGTACTGGAAACGCTCCTCTGCCCAAGGTAATGCGTCATGCTCAGCGTAGGTGACCGACTTGCATTTTTTAATGCTAATTTATACTTCTTTCATTTCATATTGACCAGGATCTTCCACCTCACGCGTACGTCTGGGCGACTACCACTTCTACGGTCTGGGCACAGAAGTAAATTACGAGCAGGCCATTCAGGAGTATCGATTTGCCTCGGATGTAATGCGAAATGCTCAAGCCATGTTCAACCTCGGTTACATGCACGAGCACGGCCTCGGCTTCAAACGGGTAAGATGCTATTTTGGTTCAAGTCCCCGTCAGCAATGATCTACTGCTACGAGCTGTTTTGCGCCTTAGGATATTCATCTTGCCAAGCGCTTCTACGATATGGCTGCTGCGACCTCGTCGGACGCGCAAATCCCCTCGGCTTTAGCTCTTGCCAAGCTCTCCTTCTCATTTGCAATTGAATTTCTACGAAAGTTTACCTTGGTACGCGCTTACCACTGTGCTGTCGGGTTCCCGAAGATTGCTTGGCTAAGTTGACCACTGAATTCCCTAACCCATGTGCACTGACAGATCAATAGTTTGAAAGACATGCTTCTGAAGGCTCTAGTAAGCTTTATGCGTTTTGTTCACCAACAGCAATTTCTTTTTTTCCCATAGTTTCGAAGCTTTTTTGGTCTGTTTGTCACCGTATCGGAGGGTGGTCGCGAGCCCCTGGTACCCTCAAAGATGGACTGGGACTTCTACGTTATTCCCATTCTTGCTGGAGTTCTGTCTCTCCTCATTATATACATGCGTTTTCTACAATAAACCATCAAACTGGCAATTATTTTGTAAAGGAGGCCTACTTCATTACCACCTATCTTTCGTTTCTTCGTCTACTTGTCAGCAATAGAAATGCAAGGTTTTGTACACTGGGACGTTTTACTTCTTACTGCTTGCACTGCAAACGAGTGTGTCATGCACAACCAACCCGATGTACCAAGACTTCACTTTTTTTCGATATAAACAAGACTCGATAGGGGATGTTTGTTCAGTTCAGTGGGTGAACATTGTCAGTATAGACGAGTTTGTCACCAATTTGGGCAATTTCGCCATTTCCTAAAGCAATGGTGATGGTACCAGCAGATGCATCAACAAGAAATTTGTCAGTTGAGCATAGCTTGGCCAGTCGTTCCATTGGCACCGGGGGTAGGGCTCGGGAGTCTTTAACTGGATCCAAGTACCGATAGAGGATCAATTTTTCGATGGCTGAAACAGGAACAGAAGAGACCTTAACCATGGTGGTGGTGGTGGTTCATTTTACAGTGTTCGTAAGTGACCATGGATGCCTTCAAGCCTAGACATCTTATTAAATGGCTAGATGAATCAGAGTCAAACATCTTACTCTGACTAATGATCAAGGTGGGTCGACAGACTCTTAGCAGACGCTGAGCCACCTGATTCACCGTATCACCATCGTGAATTTGAAGGGAGTCCACAGAAAAGAGACCCGATCCCACGCAGGGGTTGACCAGAGAGACGCCGATCCCCGGCGTTGGCGCCTTGAACACTATAATTGGTTCCATTGGACAGACAGATTCCTTCACCTTCGCATCATCGGATGTAGCTGCATCCCGAATCTAGGAGACAATGAGCTGGGTAATCACAGAGATGACTAGACATATCGAGGCCTCTAAAGCAGTCGTTTGTAGCACTAGTCACCTCCAGTCCGTCAGCATCAAGGCCGAGATTGGCAACAAGGTATTCACGATTTGCTTCGAGAACAGCTTGTTCATCAAGTTCCAGCTTCACTTGCAGTGTCTTTTCACCGTTAGAAAGGAAGCGTTCACGAAGCAACTGGACGAACGGCATTGCTCGCTTCGCCTGCTTGCCAAACGACTTCATGTGGGGCTGTAGAGCCTGCAAAACTGTTGCATTGTCTGGCAATTCACCTCCCTTCGTCAACAGAGCGTGGAGGACATTCAAGATTGTTGCCTTCAAATAAAAGGTGATACCTTTAAACCTTGTTGATGCCCAAAAGCAAACAACAGAGGTAAATCTGATGCGATGTCTAACCTGCCAAGGTGGATAGGCTTTGGCGACCCATATGACAGCATTGGTGGGTTGTCTGTGAGATTGTTTCTGCAATGCTGGATCTTGCGCCTTGCCACTGCCTCCTTTGCCCTTCGGCACTCGCGCAACGAGAACTTGTTTCAATTGAAGACGGAAGGTGCGCGCCACATCATCCAAGTAGAGACCTTGATTGACAGTTTACGTCTCTTACATCAGCTTTAAGCAATAGTAATGAAAACGCTTCAAGAAAAAACGATGTTACATGGGTTTGAAGTTTCAACTGACTGGACGCAATGACCTCCTACATCAAATTGCGCGTTACAAGGAGTTGGGTTCGAAACAATGCCATGAATGTAGGGAGGCTGACATGAGACTAATGGAGAGGTTTTTATGTCTGCTTGGCCAACATCTGTGAAATACTAAGCATATGGAAAACGACCTTATCAAATCTAGTTTTGTTTCAATAGCACTAAAAAGTGCCTCAAAATGCAAGCGCACCTTCAGCAAGAATTTTGGTGTCGACAAGGCCAATTTGTTTGGGCCATGTGGACTTGAAAATGCTTTGCTTGTGACCCAGAAGGTTGCGCCAGATGTGCTCACATACATGCGAACAGATGGGCGAGAGGAGGATCGTCTGTATATCAATGTACCGACTGATTAGACTTGCATGCATTCCACGTTTCTGACAGACCTCGCGATAGCGATCCTTGCAGGCCTGGAGCAAGGAAAAAAGTGTTTCTGTAATCTAACACTGGTTAGATCTCACATCACTGGTTCAAAAACATAACTTCCTCAGCCTGTAATGTGCACAATCGAAACTCTAAGGCTGCCTTGAAATCGACCCTGAGGCAGGATGGAGGGCGTGCCTCAAAATAGTGCACCTAACTTGGTGATCCATCACTCAATTGGGGTAGTTAGGATCATTTCTGAGCAGGAATTTCTGCTCCAGTCCAAGTCCAATTAATCATCCACCATTTTCAACTAGTATTTTATGAAATGAGAGTTGTGAAGTACGAGCGTAGTGGTAGGGAGCATGATAGAGTGCTAATAGCGATTGGATCTGATAGTGAGGGCACAAAACCTAATTCAAGCCATTTCAGTCAGAATTACATCGAAAACGGTATTTAAAGACGGAGTGAAAGTGAAAAACAGAAGCGTTAGCTTACAATAAATTCGTAGAAAACAACCCTTAAAGCCTCTTTGTAGTTCTGAGCCGAGTAATGCTCATCAGCGGCCGCAACAATTCGACACAGATCGCTGAGGAGAAAAATGGTAAATAGGAGTTTAAAGCAAAACGATCCAATAACAGGGATTCTCATAATATACTACAAAAAGGGGCTTACTTCTCGAACACTTTATCGGGATGCAGATTTAGTGCGCCGGTTCTGAAGCCAACAGCAGAAGGGTTCTTCAAAGCCTGAACGGTCGCGGTTATCCACTCGTAGAGTGAGTAAAGTCTGAGGAGACCGGCTTCGGCCATTGACTCCTCCATATTGGCGTCCTCAAGAGTGTCGCCAGCGTCGGCCAGAGCCAGGCGCAATCCTTAACGCGGGAGACAGATTGTTGTGGGAGATTCCAAAGACCACTCAATCGAACTACGCACGTTACTATTAAAACGCTTGTTTACATTAGAAGCCACTTGTTTACACGCAAAACAATCACTTGAATGCAAAAGGCTGAAAACAAGAGCACTTCCTCTTTCGGCAGGATCCGTTGAGACTCAAAGAGGTCATTTAACTCAAAAGACGCATCACTACTTCTCGAACGGTTCGCAACGACTGAACTAAGGGAATTCAGGCTCCTTACCAATGAAAGGAAGGTTGACTACGAAAAAAAGTGATGTTTTTGTACCTACTCTACGCACGAAATCATCAAAAGCTCACCATCGGCGGAATACTTATCTATCGCATCAGAAAGCGTCAGGAAATTTCCAGTCGATTTAGACATCTAAAAAGGCAAAAATGATTGCTGACCTCTTTTTTAATCAATACGATAATTAACTGACAAATATGTATCAAAAAACGATTCCATGCAGAAGTTCCCAATCTATACCTTTTCAGAGTTGAGTAGCAGTAAACCGTTAGCACGAATACCCTTGGGCCAGAGTTGAGGCTCCTCGGGCCACATTGCAACGTGGTTGTAGAGGAAGTATGTGAGGTGATTGGGCAGTAGATCCTTGCCACTGACGTGCATATCTACGGGGTACCAGTAGAGAAATTCGTTGCGCATGCGGTGTAACGCGTCTACAGTTACGGTTGTGTAGCGTTCACTTGCGAGTTTTGCTGGATCGCCTTTGCCGATAAAGACGTAGTCCCACACCTCCGGAGTCATATGCTCTGGACTGATGTAGAAGAAATATAGAGGAAGGTGAGAGAGAAGAAGAGAATAAATCAAGGCACAAGACACACTATATACTGAGCGGACCGCGGAGGGACCCATCAAAATTTCCGCCATGAAGAAGGTGAGCGATAGTCTGGTAGGCCATGTAGATGGTAGAATCAGAGAGAGATTCAATGATCCAATTCTCGTCCCACGGCAAGCGCGTGCCCAGACCGTACGTGCGTGAACAAGCGTGTTCTTGCAACCAGTTGAGGGTGGCAGCAATGTTGTTGCGAGCCTAAATGCAAGTTCGAATCAACCTTCACCATGGTATATGAACACCCGTTAATAATTGGGGAAAAAAATGACTGATAAAAACCTACTTCATCGGTCATACTGACTGCGGCGAGAGCCTTGCGCACCTTTGCTTTCCAGTCCTTGTTACCATAGTCGAGATACCACTGGTCGCAGAGTGCAACTACAGCATCATCACCACTACGAGTCACAACTGGCCTCTCCGGTTCGTAGTAAATAAGGGCTAGATCCTGTTCAAGGAATTAGAAAAGAGAACTTTGCTTCTATTTGCTCCTACATTTTTTGCCTCACATATCAAAGGCGTACAATACAATTGGTAATCGAAAGAATCTACGATCCAAAGTAATCAATCCAATCTTGATAAAAAGGGAAGTGACACTTAAGTTTCCTTACCCTTTCAACAAGCTCGTGTTGAATCGCTTTCCTAGCATTTTGTATTTTCTCACCGGCATGAGAACCCATAAGAAGAACACCGTCGTAAAATCCAAGCTTGTAGATCTTCTCCTTGGCCTCCTGGAGTTTGTCACGATCATTTTGACTTGCGATCTTCATATCCTCGACCACCTTTGGTGCAGCCAGTTTGCCCAACAGTGGGTTTTCGATTATCTCCACAGGCTCGAACGGAAGCACCATTTCGTCAGATATATTGTACTTCGCTCGGAAAGCCTGGGAGTTTGAGAGCTTTAATTTAGCTTCGTATGATAATGACACAGAGAAACTCAAGTTATAGAAAATAAGGGTCAAGCATTACTCTTGGAATAAAAGGAGTGTCCATGATACGACTTAGCAAAATAAAAGAAACGAAATTCAGAGGAAAATAATAATAGCTTAACTGCAAAGGGTTTGGAATTTCCGGTAATGTGGTTTAAGTGCCAGTACTCAGGTTTAAAATAAAAATTAAGTCGAACGGCTACAAACCTTCTTGTTTTTGAGGTCCCGCAGCGTGGCGAAGTCGTCAGGGGAATCACTAGGTACGCTAGCCACAACACCAGTTCCCTTAGTGGAGGAGATAGAGAGCATTGGGAGGGTGTAAATTCCGTCTTCGTATACACTTAGTGGAGCCTTCAAACGCAGACCAAAGAGCTCCTCTCCTGTCAATGTGGTTAATGTGTCGACGCTACCCGGGTGCTCAGGGTCTAGTAAGTCCTAATAGTGTTTAAAATAGCATCTTTTGACCTCCCAGCCTTCGAATACATAGCTCAAGGATACTAGTTGATAATAGGGGTTAAAATAGTATTAATGGACACAAACAGCATCGCTATACCTGATAGGCCATATTAAGTGCAGCCCGATGCGTAAGTATGAAGAGTGAAGAGAATAGTTTTGAGCGAACAACAGCGTATTCAATGGTGGGATGGAGCCAACAGTTGGTTTGTCCGTACATCGTCTCTGGACGTAGGGTTGCAGCCAGAAAATAAACCTTTTCATTCTTCTTCAAAACTCTCCTACGAAAAAGTTCAAAACTATGATAAAGCATCTCAGATAATGGGGCTGAAGGCAGACATGGGATACTTGCTTAATTTTTTCTGGCACCGTTGCAACTATTTCCAATTTGATAAGAGTATACTCCATGGGACAAACACCCTAGTGAGGAAGAGGAAGCAATATTGTATCAATACGTCCTTGCAAACAAAAGGAGGTCCATTTCTGATGGAAACCATACCTCACCAGCAATTCTTTCATGGTCCATACAGGGCTGGTTGTCTTTTGGTGAGAATATTGTGTAACGTTTGCCGTAAGCAACTTTATTCCGCCTCCTTAGATGGAGAAACTGCCACCGGACCATTGAATCGTAATAAGGATTAGCATCGGTAGTGATGAAAGAGCGCCTCCAATCAGCCTAAATAAAATCCATGAATTTTCAATTGAGACCCAGTGACTTACCTTAAGACCCAAACGCTGAAGGTCGCGCATGCACAATAGAGGAAAATAGTCAAGCCAATAATTAGGGTCGGTGAACTTGGGAATATCGACTTCAGGTATCCCTAAGGATTTCATGATCTGCCATTGATACTTCATGCCCCCAGTCTTGGCAACGGCTTTGCTCTTTTTGCTCTTTGATTTGTCAATCACATCAGGTTTGGGCTCATCAAATTTAGCAGTTCCTTCATGTGATGTGGGAAAAGAGGGAGGGCAGCCAAATAACTCCATTTCTCGAGCCAACTTGTCAGCAGAGGCCCTGATCGGTGTGCCAGTACAATGAAAGGCCATTGGCCAAAGAACGGCTTTTCCTTTTAATGCTTGAAAACCAGCCGCAAATTCGCCTTTCATCATGGAAAATGCATGCCCAATATGAAGGCGGCCATTCATGTAAGGGTAAGGAAATGTAATAAAATATTTTCCATTTTGGGAGTCAGTGGGTACAGCATCAACCTCAAATTGATGCTCATCTGCCCAAATTTTCTGCATGTCACCCTCGATCAGATGTAATTCAGTAAGTTTGGCAGTACCTTTGCGAGCCATTTCTAAAAAAGAAAATGATTCAACAGGAGAAAGAAGTTGGAAAAGGGAGGAAAAAGGTCATAAGGATGCCTGAAAGAGGAAAATATCAAGCCTCAAATGATGCAAATCAAATCAATTGCATTGAACGATGAGCTCAATTATTTACTTAAAATGAGTGCACCAAATGGAACAGATTAACCTACAACAACTAAAACACTAAATGAAATGAAGATTTGAACGAAGGTAAATAGAGCAGCGGAAAGGTTAGCGACCCTCCGAACAAGTTACATGACCGGAATTCGCGTAAACAAGACAAAAGTTAACTAGAAAATCCTTGCGCAAATAGCTAAAGTACAAAAACGTCTTGTGTGCACTTACGGACGTGACGAAACGGTGGCAAATGGGACGACGAAGTAACAGAGTTGTGAAAGGCTAAACAGTGCCTAATGGGAACGAATCAGAAAAGGGTTGTGGATATCTGTTGACTGACTGGAAAGAGAATTATCGAAATTAAAAGTTTAATAGAGGCAAACTAGAAGCAACGCAAGTGAGTCTTATCATCGTGGTTGCACAGGCATTATTACAATTTATGTGAAATACAATGCATGCCGTAAATATGCCTTTTTCCAAAAGTTAAAGCACCACAAATACAAAAGGAAACATAAATTACCAGCAAATTATAATATATGTCAAGCTTATAAAATTAGTTATAATAGCTTTCGCCTCTTGGGAGTTAAGGCATTGTAAGATCCTGTAATGCTTTGCTTACATTGCCTCTTAGTTTGGCGGCTAATCGGGAATGTCGTGAGCATTGGGTGGGGCGAAGAAAGGACTTTCCATTTTTCTTCTAATATACGTTTCTTTGACCACAGTCTGATGCTTTTTCTGCCCAATGTTAAGTCCTGAGTCGTTGACAGTGAAGGTCGAATTTAACGCTCTCGCGATCTTCAATCATGTTGATTTCGATATTCTCAAGAAGTACAAAAGAAGGCTGAATGCCTAGGGTTGGAGATGGTACAAGTTTTTCGAACAGAACTGTAGTGCTTTGTTTTTGCATTCATCTGACGTTCAGCGGGTTCGGCCCTTACGCTCGCGTGTTGACCTTTGGGCCATGTCCAGGTCCATTTGTTCCATTCTCTTCAGAATGCATGTATCCGGCCTCACTTACTGCTATATTCCACTCTGTGGGAAGTCTCGAGACGCTACACTAGTGGCAGCGGAGAGCGAAACCAATATTTTTCCAATGACTATCCTAGCACGTACCATTCGTTTGCATCGGTGGCAGGAGAGCCTTTGAATCCCTTACAACTAAAGGGTCAAGACCGACGTCTGTAGTTAGCTCCACCTTATCTCTGTGTTTCACGGACAAGCTTTTAACAACTGAAGCGACATCGCCGTAAAACATCTGGATGTCGGAAATGGCACTACGGTTCTCCATATATGCGGGACAGTTGCTCATCCCGTTTCCACTGTAACAAATATGTGTTAGACCAGAGTTACATCTGTAATGCTTTGTTTATGCGACTATCTGACGTTTGGCGGACACTTTAGGACTTGTCTGGGCCCTATGCACGTGGGCTGGCCTTCGGGCCACGCTCAGGCCCCATTTCTCCTATTGCTTCCGGAATACATGTATTCAACCTCACTTATGTCTTCTACTACCCCATTTGGAACCTCGGGACGCTACAACATCGTCTATTCCTAGAAGCAATTGATGGTCGACAGGTGTATGCGGTTCCGAATCTGGTTGTCAGAATGAACGTAACTCCAGATCCAGTTGAAGCTGCCGAGGAGACCAGGTACGGTTCCTTAGTCTGATGCTAATTGTCGACTGGCGCGGTTGGCTCGTGGGTTCTTTCTTATAGTATCGAATATATTGTGATGGCTGGTGCGGAGTTTCACTAAGGGGAGCGTTAAGGACGTCGCTCAAAAGAAGACGGACGGATTAGTGCTTTGTTAATGTCTCTATTTGACGTTTAGTGGTCACTTGAGTATTCGTCTAGACCTTGCACTCGTGGGCTGACCCTCAGGTCATCATCAGGTCCATTGCCTCCACTCTCCTCGGAGTACTTGTATCCAGCTGTTACAAGAACGACTGGGATTAATACCTGTGCTTGGCCGTACTTTATTCTTTATGTCTACGGACAAGCCAAATACATATAAAACATCAACACCATGAACCATTTTAAAAAGCTTCTCATCGCAACTCCTTTTAATATATTCGAGTAAAGATGTTGCAGATGATGGTTCATTGTCCCGAGACTCCCCATGGGGTGGAAGGAGGCAGTAAGTGGGGCCAAGGGTCATGAGCATGGCCCGAAGGCCAGCCCACGAGCACGATGTTCAGACAAATATTAAAGAGATAATCAAACATTATGTGGCCACATAAAAGTTGTATTGCAGATACTGCACGCAATATACTTCCAAAGGCGGCTGTGCCTAATCTGGTTTTCAGTAGCTCATCGATTTATGGTTTAGTGATTCGTCGTCTATTCCCGGCAAAGATTGATGATCAACATAAGTGTGAACCTTGATTCCAGTTCTGTACCGAGCGTAATTCCACATGTAGTAGGAACTCCTGAGGTGGCCAAGTACTGTTTCTCACTGTTATGGCAGCTGAAGAATGGCATTGCTGGTATGTGATGGCTCCCATGTGGCATTAAGTGTGTCAAGGTAGCTTTCGCCATCGGTCGAAATTCGAGAGTGGTCGTGTAATACTTTGCTTACGTGTCTCTGTTCAATTGTCACTGTAATACTTGAGTAAATTTTCGCGCGTGGTGGTCCTTTGGCTTTGCCTGTCTTCGATGATCTCATGCCCCCTCTGAATGCATGGGTTGCACCCTCTACCGAGTGGTGGGAGATTGGGGTCATGGGTGACGTCAGGTTTGTCTTTTGATGTGATGATGCTCGTTCATATTTGTGAAACAGAAATTATGTATGTATATGACAGGTTGATCTGCAGCAAATCTTTATAGCCAATAAGGAATGCTAATATTTCGAATATAGATTTTATAGTTTTTCCTTAAAATCTTTAAAAAATCACTTGATAATCATTGTTTGATGTAAATAACGCAACGCTTTTGATTTTGTAATTTTAAAAATTTTCGGCTCTTTTTTGGTTCGCGTTTACGCATTTTGTTTGTTTGTATTTCCGCCTTTTAATAGGCGTGGGTTCTTTGGAATTGGTTTAAATCACTGTTTTGGCCTATTTAGCCTTTATAGCATAGTTATGAGGAAATAATATACTAGGTATTCGCGATATCCCTATTGAGATTAATGATCGGTCTGTCATATCACCTCTAGGTGTCTTCATTTTTTGAACGATAACATTTTCTATAATTTGCATCTGGAAATGTTGATCGGATCTCGTGACATCCTTCTTTTCTGTTCTGGCTTATGACTCTATTCAGAACTGCTTTTTACCATTCACTGTAGCCGTACAATGGGTGAAAATAACTGTCCTCGATTTCATGCTGCAAAGCTGTTGCGCGATCCTGTCTTGGATCCCTCTTGCAAGTCCAAAGTGTACAGAATTGACGGTGTGGTTGTTGGAGTAAGTTTGCTGCATTAAATTTAAACTCTTAGGCATCTTGTCCCAGTCCCACACCCGTCGTTGATCCTCGCATATCGCCACAACTGCGAATGTTTTGCAGGAAGTCTAACTCGGATCTTCCAATCCCGAACTTTAAGGTAATCGTGGTGTAAAATGTCCATCTACTTGGTGACATAGTTTGATACCTATTTCATAGTTCCATGTCCTGAAAAAGAAGTTACATTTTCCAATTTGAACGACAATATAAATGTCAAAAACTTGGAAAAAATGTGCAAGGAGTTCGGGACAATCGAAGAGGCCAAGGTTTATTTTCATCCACAATCTCAGAAGCACATGGGAGTTGGAAAGGTGGTTTTTCAGTCTGCCAAAGGCGCCAAGCTTTGTGTTGAAAAACTAAATAATACTTCAAAAATGGGGAATATTATGAAAGTTGAACTTGATACGTTTGGTAATGTAATTCAGTTTTGCTAATTGGTGATATTAGGCGAAAAGAGGTATGCGCTGCTGGATTATCTACAGCGTGAAATGTCTCGGGATCAATGTTCGAAATTTCAATCCAATTTTTTGCGTAACTTTATGAACAAATCTTTGCCTGCTACGAACTCTACCGAAAGTGATTTTCTAATGCCTCGGTCAACAAACCACGGAAATCGTGGTTGTCATCGAAATAATTCACCTTTTTGGACGGATTCGCATGGTGCAATAGACGAGGACTCGGAAATACGTCCGTTCAAGCGATCTGGTCCGTCCATTCTCCAGTCCATTTACCATTCCACTCTCACTGATTTTCCGATGTCATCGCATTCAATTAATGGGATTCCCTTTCCTAAAGAGGATCCTTTAGATGTTCGGATACAGAAATTATTGCATTCTACTACCTCTGGTTCGCCATTTTCATCGAAGGAGTCGAAGAACAATGTCGCCATGAAGCCGCAAAAAAAAACGCCTTTGTTGTCTGACACCTTTCCTGATAAGGCGAAACCAGCGCCGCTTCTTCAGAGTCCTCTTATGCCAACGCCGCCCTCCTCAGTGTCATCTTATTCACATAACATAAAAAATGAATCCCAAGTTCCCCCAAAGGCTGTTGTAGCGCGCAGGACTTTGTTGCCTACCCCTTTTGATGAGGACATTAAGACTGAGGGTAAACATGTTCAGCAGACCTCAAAGGAGCCTTTACTGCAGGCTTCTCCGAAGTTCACGATGGATTTTTCTCATGTTACCAGACTAGCTGCAGAAACTTCCCTCCAATTTGTCCGCGAACTGCGCGATATCATTAGGAAAGATCTGGAACGCCGTCTGATTGAAGGATATGCGTTTCGTTCTTTCGATAGCTGGTGGGAATCTCAACAATCGGTAGGCGTTTTTTTGAGATGGATTTTTATGGCTATTACTGAATTGGTTCGGTTGTGTTCATCCTTTTCACTGGTCCTCAAAATCAAGTGTATGAGTATGGTTCTCGACTCCGAGTCTATGAATTAGCCATACGTAGCTTTACAACTCCGAATCCATCGTTTTACGTGTCCTAATGAATTATTTTCCCGTTGCACTCGGAAAACTCACCAAGTCATTTCAAGACAACCTGCTATTTCCAATAAGAACTGTATTTTTACGCAACCATGTCCTCTTGCTTACCCATTAATGTAGTCTTACGTAAAAAATTTTATGCTGCATAGTGGCTTGTGGTGTTTTGCTTTCAAGAATTGCCCAAATTTTTCGAATGCATATGTTTGCAAAATAGTTTCTAACTCTTCAATTCGTTAATGGCATTGTTCTCATACACTCGAATTTCACGAAGGAATAGATCAGTATCTTGTCTGGACGGAATGTCGTATTTAATATTACTTCGCTGGATATTATTTTCAGAAATCCTTGTATAACTATACGAAATCGCGTTTTAGCGCGAGTTCCACGAGAACATTTCCCCAAGTGAGCGTCTGATCAAGTCACAATCGGAATCAACTTCCTATCAATTGCCTTCTGCTCACGCGAAAGCGGTTGACGCAAACAGTTTTGACCACCGGTCGGATGCATCCCTATCCGTCACTGGTGGTTTGGGCATTTTTAGCGGCCTCCGTACTGCGCTGCCAAAAATTAAACGGAAGCCGAAGCCTCCGAGTCCACCAAGGAAAGCCTCTACGCCTCATCGGCATCGTAAAAGAAGTGCTTCGAAATCCCGTTCGCATCGCAGGAGAGAGCGATGTCATGCCGAAATGAGGAGGAAGTGGCGGCATAGACGTTTAGAGTCATCATCATCGTCTCCTTCTTCTTCAATGTCTCGAGACGTTTCTCCGACTCCGTCGGATTCGACAGAACCTACAGTTGCTTCTCCTTCTAAGTTTGCGATGCGTAAATCTGAAGTTAATAAGCGGTGTGTCAACTTTGATATAGGAGAGGTTTCGCGACGTTCATCCAAATGTGTGTTTGACTAAATTCACTCGGAATTTAACTATCGGTAACACCTGGATAACGCCATATCTTCTGTAATTTCAGCAGTTCACTCGCCCGTTATGTCAAAGCGCAGTTTCACCTCCACTAGGCGTAGTGACAGCTCCCCATCTACCACTGTTCAACAAGTCAGTCCCAATCGGCGAAAAGTGATGTTTAAAGACAGTATTTGTCGGTCTTCTTCTTCCTCGCCATCGGCTTCATTGTCGCTTTCGAGGCGACATAAAAAACGGGAACCGGTTGAGCTACATTCATCAACTATTAATCCTGCCTGTGGCAAACCCACTCTTCGAGTTGATGACGTTTTTAATGATAGGTTAGTTTTGTATCCCACTTGGTGCAGCTTTACCAAGACTATGCCTACATTCAGCATTCTGTCTGCGTGAATCTTCTCAGATTAGGTAAAAGTGATCGTTCCTTTGCAATAAGGAAATGTGATTCGATCGCTGAGCTACCAGTTATTCATCTTGACCCTTATGTAAAGTTACTCCGTACAGTTCTCTGTAGTGCAATGTCGTATTTAGCTCCTCGGATTCTAGTGTCAATGATGCCGATCGTTCAAGATGCTTGTCTGAAGGCAATCAAGGTGCCATACCTACCGCTGAAACTTCTACTGAGAGGTGCACTTCGAAGTCTGGATCGTCATCTCCGTTGACTTCCAATGAGAGTCATCAAAGGGAGTTCTCTCCTTCAACCTCGCTTTTGCCAAAAATGACAGAAGCACATGATTTGCTCAAGTCAAGTGCGAAATGTGCTGATGAATCCTCCATTAGATTGAGTTCCCTCAGCAGTGATGTAAGGTTTCTATGGGTTTCAGCCGATTTTCTTCCACCCATAGTGTGTTCCCTTTGTAAGTCATTCAACTCTATCTGCAGGATGAAGATGATCCTTTGGAAATGCGACTTCAGCAGATAAGACTGAACCGACATCGGAGAGCAAGTAAACGTCAACGAAGTGCAAGGAATAAGGCAGATCAAAAAGCAGCAGGTGGCGAGACGTCGCCCTCCTCCCAACCGTCCATGTGGTCTAACGACTCCTTGGTAAACTTAGTAATTGTGCCATTCTTTGATATATTTACACTCAGTATTCTAATTTCTACATTGTTCACGATTCACATTTTCGTAAAAATTACATTTATCGACAAGTGTACATATTCTCAACAACAACTTTCTATCCATTCCATTCTTTGGTAATGGCTTCTCAAGATTTTTAGCTTTTTAAGATGAAACCGCTCTGAGTTTTAAGCTATAGACTATTCTTAGCTTGCCAAAGTGTTGCCGTTATTTTGCCTTTTGTTTCACATTTTGCAGGCGCGATCACGGCAGAATTTGAAGAACGCGTCAACTTTAGCTGACAGTGAAGAAGGGGATGATGAAGAGAAAAGCTCTCAGAGAGCGAGTCATGCAAAGAGGAGCTCTAATACGACCGATGCTTCCGTCCTTTCGAAGCGTAATCAATCAACATTGGATGTTTGTTCACGCTTTGGGACGGACAGCGAACCCTCGAGTGGCTCCGATGCTACTCCACAAGTGGAACATGCTGCTCCGCAAAGACGGGTAACTACTTGCGTATTAACACAAGAAGGGTCGAAAGAGTAGAGATGTTGGTGGTTGAATAGTGCCATTGGCATGGGTGGGCACCTGTAGCAGTCTCTGTATTTAATTTCGTTAGTAATTCTATGGTCGTTTGACTACGGTGTTGCTATAGCTTGCTTTCCTGAGATTAAGCTGTTGTCCTAGACTAAATAGCATCTTACGCGATGCCAATGACAACACCTTCAGGTTCATTACTTCCCTTCACGTTCGTTTGATGGGTTGATATCCCCTTCTACCATGTTACATTCAGAGTCCAAATCGGCCCAAATTCCATCTTTCCTCGGAGGAGTCTTCCCTACCTCTCAATGAATTTGAAGAGGCCGAAGAAGGGGAAGATGATGGTGATGGCGAATCGTACGAAGGCTATCACACCCCTCCGACTTCCACATCTCGACGAAAACGGAAATTGGCTCTTCATCAGATCAGAAGCGTGAAAGGCACTGCCAACAACAAGCGGAAAATCTCTCCTGCTACCACTACTGCAAATCAGGATGGATGTGGTGTTATGCCGTTGTGGCGATCGGACTCTAAGAGTTCTTTATTTTCAGACTCCAGACGGGTAGGTCAGAGCCATTTATAGTAGTGCTAATTCATCTCTGCTACAGTTCTGTGTTACACTTTTAGGAGGTTTTAAAGGAAGGTAACGATGAGGCATACGTATCGAAACTACTCTCATCTCCACAAACGCAGTTGGGTTGGCCAGAAAACAGTAGACCTCCGGTCCCTTCTCTCTTTTCCGCTGAGTTGGAGGGTGATTCTTCAGACTCCTGCGAAGTCGTTGAGGTGAGTTGGAAAGGCTCTTGATGTTGACACACTCTTTCATTGAGAGGTATTAATGTTGGTCTTGGCCGATTCTTTAGACAGTCCAAGGTGATTACCGGTGGCCAGAAGCCCTGCTCTGTGAGCACAACTATTTTCACATTCCGTCTCCTGGTGGTACAATCACTTATCGAACGTCAAGACGTGTTGCGCGTCGGCGGGCCTCCGTACTGGCCTCGATGCAAGAGAATGCTACTCCAATCGCAACACCAATACAACGACCCACAAGCAATTGCGTAACTTCTCTGCCGCCAGGAACGGTGAAGCCTCTCATTGTCCATCGCTCCTCCTCCTCACTCCCTGGCTCTGGGCTGTTGCAGGATCGGACAGGCAACCGAATGCCGATCAGATGCGACACAGTTCAACCGCGCAGTCAGGAGTATAAAAGACCACCTCCGCGGCGGGCTGTCGTTGGATCGAGGGAACTGGCAAACTTATTAACTCCTGTGGAGAAGTCGGATGTTAAACGTAGTGCTCAACAATCAGAATATCGGCAGTCTTTGAGGACATTCAGTCCTCGTTCCCTCCAAGATGAGGAAACTGTATGCCTTGCTTTCGTTATGCTTCAGTCATGAGAATCTTTTTTGTCTTTCATCGGACAACACTATTTACGAAGGCGGTAGAGTTCATCGCTCACTTTTGGTGACTTCTAGGAGTTTCGTCCACCTTCATTGTGAATAGAGTTGTTTGAGTTAATTCTGTGAGGTTCACGTCATTCTGAGGTCGATGGACGTATGTACTAGAAGGTTGATGGGTCTTCATGCATTTAAGCAAATAGTTTTTTTGTTAGTATCCTTTTGTTTTTAATTCAAGTCCCATCGCTCCTTTTAGATTTTGACATCATTTGTCGACTTCGGTATCGACTCTGAAGATGTGGAGCTGCTGCATGAGTTGTTTAATCTCATTCGAGAGTGCGGATCCTCAACAAACGCCCAGTTACTCTCCTCTATCATCTCGTTGGCTCACATCCGCCATCCCCACAAGCTGCTTGACTTAATAAAAAATACAGCCTGGGTCGATCATCCCCCATCTTTGGTGCCTGATCCCCTTGATGTGGAGGGCTATGTTGACTGTAATGGTCGGCTTCATCGTGGTCGTCCCACCTCCTTTATTGGTGTTGTTAACCCCTCCACGCGGAAGCGTCGGCGTGGAGTGCTTCGCAATTGTCAAAGCAAGCGGTCGAAATTTGAACCCGTACACCAAGAAGTATCCGAGCAATACTCTTCTACGTCAGATCAGCCTTCTGACGTGGAGTCGAATTCTGACTCACCAGTGTGTGATGATGATTCCCTATCATGTTCGGGTAAATCACTCTCTGCACCCTCCTTGCAGAAACGCAAGTTATACGAGCAGATGTATGCTTTAGAGCAAAGACGGGCTGCTCTTTGTTCCAAAAGCGGTAACCGTGTTAAGCGAAGAAATAAATCCACGGCTGATGAAATCGACTTTAATTTGGGTCCTGCTGCTTCTTGTCCACCGATCAACTCTACTGGTGAGAACCACATTCCTCCTTTGATCATTGTTAAACGCTCTTCGCCATCGATGTTAATTTCTTTGGCTGGCTGTGGGAATTAATTTAGCAAATACTAATCCGGACTGTCATCATTTAGCTCTTTTGTGTCATTTTCCTACCCTCAGGTTGTGCACGAACTCAAGGCTTCTACCGGCTGGATCCAAGCCAGCGTTTTCGTCGATCCTGGTGCGTAGGACGAAGCATGGTATCCGAGGATGGAACTCAACGGTATCCTCTTCCACTCATTCCAGCCTCGGTGGAGCTGAATGCCATCACTGCTGCTCACGGTCTTGCCGATGAGCTTACCGAACAGGCGAGTGAGGCGAAGCGCAAGAAGGTGACACAGGCGCGCGAAGTTCGCTCTGTTCAGCGACGTCTACTCGCCGAATTTCAGGACATTGAAACAGGTGATCTGCTCAAGTTCAACCACTTAGAGGTGGGTAGTACCAATAGATATGACTCTGTTATTTATCTCAGTCACTTCACTGTTTGAGTACTTTATTGCCCAGTTTCGACGTAAACAGTTAATCTTTGCCAAATCGCCGATTCATCACTGGGGTTTGATTGCGCTGGAGCCAATAGCTGCCGAGGAGATGGTGATCGAGTACGTTGGTCATGTCATTCGCAAGGGTGTGGCTGAACTTCGTGAGAAGCGGTATGAACAGCGTGGAATTGGGTCTTCCTATCTCTTCCGCATTGATGATGAATTTGTTATTGACGCCACGATGTACGGCAATAATGCTCGTTTCATCAATCACAGCTGTCAGGTAACACCGCTGCCCCTATCAATTCACTTTCACACCCTAGTAATCAAAACCAATTCATTTAATGCCATTTTTAATTGAAAGAGAGGGGTATCGTTGGCGTTGGATTTCCTTACCGATGACTTTCCGTTCTAGCCAAATTGCTATGCCAAAGTGATAACGGTGGAAGGCCGCAAGAAAATAGTGATTTACTCTAAGCGCGATATACAGGTAATGGAGGAGATCACCTACGACTACAAATTCCCCTACGAGGATGAAAAGATACCCTGCCTATGCGGTGCTCCGCAGTGCCGTGGAACTCTCAATTAACTGTACTCAGGATATATCTTGCCGTCTATTTCTTCATAGCCTTTCATTCAAAACACTGTCTCTTCGAAGTTGACTTTCTTTTTTGCCGTTTGGCAGTTCTCCACTGGCACTCTGGTGAAGCTCAGTTCCAATTTCACTCTCCCCTCCTCACTCTCTTTTTCCTCAGTCTTTCCCTGAGTCCACTCTCTATGCGGCTCCTTGCCTGGCCACTTCAGGCTGCAACAGTGGTAGCATTGTCCTGTATATTACTTCCCATCAACCTTCACCTCTTGTTCGCCTTTTGTCAGTTTTGTACAAATATATGGACTGTAATTGCTCTTCCTCTCTCTCTCTCTCTCTCTCTCCTCCACCCCTTCCCCCTTATTCTCCGTCTGCTGGCCCTTTTACACCAACGCTAGTTTTGTGCATTTAATTTGCTTCGTTGTACAGAGAATTTGCTTGTGCCTATGGCGAATAAAAGCCATATTAATAAAGATGATTACTACTTTCCTTCTCCCCATTTTTGTCTGTATGCAGCGGCTCCTTTGTAATTATTTGCTCTGTCTGCTTTGTGTGCCTTAGTTTTCGGGCTTGTTTTTTTTGTGTTTGCATTATCCGTATTAATAACTCTAGTCTCGGGATGTGGCAAGTTCGCAGGCATTCTCTTGTCTGTTGGCATTATTGCCTACGATAGGTGGGAGAGGCTAGTCCTCGTCTGGTGTGTATTCTGTGTCATTGTTTTGATGTCTTATGCGGAGGAACGTAGAAGAGAAAACCTTGTATTGCATTTGACATGTGTGCTATGCGCGTATGTTCCATTCCATTGATTGGCATTGCTCTTGTGTGCGTGTGTGTGCAGGCTTGGGGGTGCGATGAAATTGGGTCGCAGAGCAAACGTGCTTTTAGAGGTCTGGTGTGTAGTCATTACGACTGTACTTTCATATCTGCGTGTTTAGCGCTACGATGATGTGTCTCTTTTTTGGTATGTGTTCCTCTCCCTGGCGTGTTTGAGGTTGGGGCTGATTCATTGCGAATTACTGCACATGTTTTCTCATCTATTAGACGCTCCTCGGCGTTGTCTGTGTCGAGCGTTGCAAGTAGTTGGCGCAGGAGGGAAATTTTCCACCTTTCTTGCGAAATTTGTGTATAGCTGATGAGGTATTTGACATCAGTGATAATGTGATCGCCTGGAAACCCTACGGGACTCTAATTTTTGCCCTACAGGGACTGCATTTGAGGATAGGGTTAGGTAAGGGAAGAAAGAGGCAAACGTCGGTGTTACTAGTTTTAAAAGCACTGATATAATATTTCACGGTTTTTCATTTTTGCCGTCTTGATTGATTGTGGAGAGATAAAGGTAGTGTTGCATGTTCCCTTTGATGGTTTGTTCATGCAAATATCGAAGACAGCTGTGTAACGAGCTTGTCTAGGTGAATCACGATAACGACCACTTCAGTTACTAGCTACGAGACTAGAATATTTGCCAGGGCGGTGGACGTAATTTTCAGGTCCTCAGACAAGGGCGACCACAGTCGCCTCTACTGTCCTGCCAAAATGTATAACCCAGTTGTGTAAATCGGACCTTTGGTAAAGTCCATCGAAAGCTACTAGCCGACGGCTCATTGTCTGATCTAACCCACCATCAGGAGAGACGGATTTAATGTGAGGTTCTTTCATGTTGTATGGATAGGTGAGTTTTGGATTTTGTTTTGAGAAGGGTTAAAGGAGTGTGAAGTTCATCGATTGTCTATCATACATCACTGCTGAATTGTTAGATGTGCTTTTTTTGAGTGTTGACTTCTCTATAACGGGTGTAGGGGTGCATTTTTACACCAAGTTGGGTTTTGTGATTGCCACTTCTTTTCTTATTCAGATACATGTCAACTATCCCAAATCAGAGTTGTATTTCGCTCGAGACATTTTTTTTCGGCGTTGGCGTAGTGCTCTCGATAACACACTTCCATGGTTGAAGAATGACGACATGGAAAGCATCAGATATGTCGATTATCTCCACCAAAATCATCCGCCGTCCATCCACCTTCGCAGTGCTGAAACTTATCCCTTCCTTGAGGAAGATTCTGAATTCATCCCTCCCATCTACTTTTTCACCTCATCCTCCTCGATATATGAGAAAGCATCAAAGGCCGACCAATCTCCTGTTTCCTCGAAATTGAAAGTCTCCGAAGTTGATCATGCAATCGCTGAAGTTAAAGTTGAAGGAAGAAGGGCTCGTGGAAAACAACGAAAAAAATTGGCACTTTCATCATCCCCATCGCCGCCATTACCGAAGTTAAGTCGAGGTGCTTTAAAGGGAGAAATGAATGCGTCTACTGTGGCTGGTGCTGCTGATAATGTTCACCACAGTGGTGAATATAATTGTATTAACTTTAATTCGGTCAAGGGCAAGCATCTGTCACAAAGCCATCACTATGTCATTCAGCAATAAAATAAAGCTCATTTTACTCCCACTGTGTATTTGCACCGCATGAGTTGAGTAGACTAGCATCGGAGTGACATTGGCTGACGTGATGGGGCATCCTTCCTCTAATCGTCATATTATGCCCAATAGGAATAAGAAAATCGTATTGTTGAAGTGATTTGAATTAGTAAGTGTCATCTGACAATGTCTGGACCAGGGAATTTCCGTGATGCACCTTGTCATCTGATCATTGCGAACATCCGAGTGGAACGTAGGCGTATACTACTGTCACTAATGTAACATCGGGACGAGTTATGCTTTGATTATTTTAAGATAGTCAGTCGTTGGAATTCATTACTGACTGATGGTGACATTTCTCGCTTCTGTATGAGCATAGTTTCGCTTGCGCAGGAAGTCTCGTTACGCTTTTTGGGGAATACCAAACTGTGACTGTCCTTCGTTTTGACTAGAGGTGTCGAGACCGGCTTGGGATGCGGCTGTTTCTCCATTTCAGGGCTCAAATTTGAAGGCGTGAGCTTTCACTTAGCCATTTATTATCGCATTCCAGCGTATGAATTTCACACTAATCTGATTCAGTTTGCTGATATCAGTTGTCGGTGGGTTCTGGCTCGAGGGTCTTGTGCATTGACAGCGCATGAGATTGAGGTGCCACATTTCCTTAAACCCCCTTTCTGGATTTTGTTTTCCAAAATCTTCCAATCGTTTGAGCTTCAACTCTATTGCGACTGCCAAGGAGATGTCTCTGCGTAAGGAGGCGAGTTAACTAGCTACATCATGAGTGTCGAATTTGCATAGGTGTATGCCAACGTTGTTTGCAGGAACGAGAATACTACGGAGTCGTCTTCCGCTCTGGCATTGCCAAAGTGAAGGATGGTGGAAAGAAGTAATGGTGTGCATGAAAGATGAGGAACGAGGAGCCCTAAACCGACGTTGTATCAAATACGTTTAGTCCTAAAGGGCTCAACGAGGACAATGGTGCCCTACTCAGTGAGGCATTGTGGATAGGCAATTCCTCATCTCGTATTAGTTTTGCAGTCTCCGTGGGATTACGGATATTTTGTTGTGCGGCAAGGGTACCTTCCTTGAGAGTAGTTTCACCTATCTGCTTTTATTTAATGCAACATCCTTGATAATGACTATGACACTAAAATAAACCCCTTCCATCAACTTAAGTCATTGTGTTTCAATCCCATGGAGTTACTAGGACACATACTGAGGACGAGTGTATGTTCGAGGAACTGGAGATCCCATGCTGCATTAAAGCTAAAAGGCAGTTGACATGGGGTGGACCACACATTTTCTAAGCACAACAGCTTCGAGGTCATTGAAAATCAGCAGCCTCGCATAATAGTGAGATAGAAGCAGTGAATAGCGAATTTACAGTCGAATGTTGAAAAATAGGTTTTTCTGAACTATGCTAGTGAATATGCAGATTTAAAGTTAACAGGTTGCAAAATCAAGTCTGCGGACGTTTTTAAGGTACAGGACTTAAGTTAAGTGCGTGAGACGCAAACGAAGAGCATGGCGACCTAGTGAAAAGCATTAATCTATAACGTCAAGGCAAAAAATTATGAATTGGGTATTGTAATTCATTGTTTAGGCAGCCAAGTAATGCTTGACAATTGGCTTTGTATTTTTTTTGGGGTATTAGGCAAGGGTTTGCTTTCGGGGTGTGCCAAATATATGGATTCAGCCCGACATGACGCCTGCTTAAGCCCTGGCGGATGTCGGGGCTCTACAGCTATTTCAGCTACAGCGATTGTAGGAACTTCCTGTCTATCCTCGTTCCCTTCAACCACTGACTTCAAGAGAGGGTTTGTTGCAGTCGAATTCTTATGCATTGAATACAGGAAAAATGGGGATAGGAGTGCAGAGGAAACGAACATACGTCTTTAATGAAGGCGATTTGGTGCAATTCTATAAACCAATTTCCCTATCCGGAACCTATCAGAAATTCTACCATTCCTGCAGCAAGGAACCCTGACGGATAATCAAAGTCCTGTCGCCCACGAATCATCTCATTCGGAATGCAGAAATTGCTACTCGACCTCGAACAGTACATCATAACAAGATTAGGCCATACACGGATCCGCCCCAAGTAATTTACGAAGACGAAGTCTATACGTTGGCAGAAAAAGGGAAGCCGTCTGACAGAAATCTACTGGTCAGCATCAGGGACAACGCTTGAAGAAGAAGAAGAAGAAGGGGGGCTGTGTGATATATTACTAAAGTGTTTAAGTTGATCTTTATGGGAGAGAGGCGGTAACTGAGATTGGAACGCGAATCCCGCGCCCGAGAACCGTGAGGAGTCCCTCTTTGGATGATAGCACCTATTCGGATCATCTGTACTCCTATCCCGTTTGGTTGCAGATGATATTTTTGCATTCTTTTACAGGAGGAATGGGGATTCGGATGCAAATGAGCCGAATTTGAGATATTAGTTGGTGGGAGACTCCTCACCGTCTTCGTGCACGTGATCCTCGTTTCTAATTGGTTCCCACACCTTCTTCTATAAAAGTTCACTTTAATATACTAATATGTATATCACACAGTTCTTCCTGCATTCAATGCCTCATAAACCTACTGCAACTAAAGGTCTCTTGAATTTCCTGGTTCAATTAATGCGGGGTAGGCAAGCACTTCCTACATCCATTGGTAAAGCTTTAGCAATTATTATGTTTAGAAAGTTGAGAATCAGCATAAGGTAGCAAATATCAATAAGAATGGACAGTTAATTACGTTAAATTCACAAGACATCGACATTACAAAATGTTTCTAAATATCCAACACAAACAAGCATGCTTTAGCATCAAACTTAAAAGCGCGCTAAGCATTGCATTGTTTGTATAATATGATGTACTATTCATAGTTTCATGTGACCTATAAAATTATTTTTGTTTTGTTTAACTTACCCACTTCAAACATTAAGGTCATTGTTTGATTTGTCGTGTCAATTCTAGTTTGCTCGTGTGGGTAGGGCGTGGTTGGTTTGAATGATTTGCTGTTCGTCCGAGCTTTTCTTGATTTCTATTAAGATGCCTAATTACATATCTGTTTTCGGATTTTGATTTTCGCTTTGTTGCGATGCAACCTCATGTATATTGCTTGAGTCTTAAATCCGTGTTCAATGTTCTATCCTAGTCATTTTGGTAATGTGAAACCTTATGTCTCTTGCATAAAATTGGAAATTGCTGTGTAGTCTTTTGTTTAGATTTGCGTGAAGCTATGCCTAGTGAGAACAGTCCCGACAAGAGTGTAGAAAGTTTGGATCAGAAATACCCTGTATATCATCCCTTAAGCAATCCGAAACCCACAACAGTTCCTGCAAAAGGTCGGGTTAGTAGAGAAGAAGGTCTTGCAACTCCCAATATGGGAATATCTCCCGTAGATCCTGTTTGGCAAAATATTGATCCAACTCCCGACATTCGGAGCCTCTTCACCACGTTTGATGCTCAGTTCTTTGGTAAAAGGCTTTCCAGTGTCGAAGTTCGATGGAGCCCTCGAATGACTCTTTGCGCAGGTCAGTGCATTTACGAGGGTCCCGGCGGTCTTTGTTCAATTCGTCTAAGCGAACCTCTTCTGAAATTTCGTCCCCGAAGTGACCTTGTGGAAACCTTGTTGGTAACCTCATAATGAGAATGATTTCTTTTTAGCACGAAATGATTCATGCGTACCTATTTGTAACACAGAACAAACGGGTAATTTTCTTGCCTTAGCCTTATTGGACAATTACAAATAGGATCGTAGTGCTCATGGACCCAGTTTTCAATTCCACATGAATCGAATTAATAAAATCGCCAAGACTAATATAACTGTAGGTCGTCATTCTCTTGGTTCATAGGCCTTTCGAATGTTTGTTCTTTTAGCAATGTTCTTATTTTAGATTTACCACAGTTTCCATGACGAAGTCGATAATTACAAAGTTCACTGGTGGAAGTGTAACGGTCCATGTGCTAAACGCCCCCCATTTTATGGGCTAGTGAGACGCTCTATGAATAGAGCACCGGGACCAAACGATCTCTGGTGGGCTGAGCACCAAGCTACTTGTTCGGGTGCGTAACCAGACTTCCACGCTCATTGTGCTTTTGGATGGAGCTGGAATGAATGTTTTGCGAAACCTGTGAATGTCACGCCAACAATCCATCTGATATGTGTTTGCACACTTATGTCACATTCTGTCTTACAGGTCAGTTTATTAAGATTTCGGAACCTGAAAATCCCAAGAATGCCTCGAAGAAGGGCAAAAATAAAGCGGGTTTGAAGTCCCAGGCGAAGACTTCCGACTCCTCGCCAGGTAAAGTTTGCGCAAATACTTGCGAGTCGTGCATGCATACGCATTTTCTTGTCCGTCAGACTTATGTCGTTTGACGTGGTCAGCTACTGATTTTCTGCTTTTGATTTGCGCGATGCAGATCTATTTTCACATAACGCGTTTACCAAATGGAGTTTTAACCGCCATGCATCCTACCTCCATAGACTTGCTACATTTCTTCCAAAGCACCCTCAAACCGGACGATGGCGCCTCGAGTTCGGCCATAGCGCCGAAGACAACTTCATCCAAAGAGCCAGTGGTCCCCTTCACCGGAGTCGGACATAGATTGGGCGGTCTGCTGCCCTCACCAGCTCAATCTCGGCTTTTGGCCTTGACCGCGCCTCCTCCCTTGCCCTCGCAGTCCACGTTTGCCAGGTCCTCAGCCACTGACACTTCTACTGAACTCGCCTCGGCTGCCACTCTCACGAGATTGGTCCAGTGTCCAGTTTGTTTCCAGTCCGTACCGGAGGATTTTGTGAATGAGCACTTAGATGCCTGTCTTGTTGCTGTGTGACTCACTGCTCGTGTACAGTGTATCCTCATCTACCTCAATCCCTCACGATGCTTTTAGATTCGAATAAATTTTTACTCGTCTTGCAGTGGTTCTTCCCATGGGCGTGGAAATGTAGTCGAATTGCTTTGTGACGCTTTGAACGATAAATAATAAAAAGCTGTCTTATCACATAAATGGTTTTGTTCATTTTCCGACCTTACAAATTCTGATTGATTATTAGAACTTCTTTGAAGTGCTACGGGAAGTTCAGTATCTTCTCATTCAGGGTCAACTTTTAAAAAACATAAACAGAGCTCCTGGCGTCACTCCTACGCTCTTTGATGTGTTTATTTCTACGGTGCTGACTCACGCAGTCATTCGCTGTTTGTGTTACCGGTGTTTTTGTTGTGCAGCGACTCTGGCAGTGACATCGTTTTATCCACATTTGAATATTCAGTCGACTTAAAGTTTTTAAAACGAATAATATTGAAAAGGGGCCCGACAAGGCCAGTGAGGCCATTCATCATAATGAGTAGGTGAGTGGGTTCGACATAGGCATGAGGACAGTATGGTAAAAGTGGACGCTTTATTTGCAGGCTTTCAGTTTGTACAAAGTGAGTATCACTCACGCCACTTTGCGTCAACTTCATCAGTGCGGTAACGCTGAGTGACGGTGGCTTCTGCCAGAGGAGTCGTCATGCCTACACGAAACATCTCGTAACCGGCCTGAGCAATCATCGCTCCATTATCCACACAGTATCGGTCGTCTGTCGCACATAATGTTGCCCCACGCTCTTTTGCCATGCAGGCCATCATTTCTTGCAGTCGTAGGTTGCACCCCACTCCACCCACTATCAGCACCTCCTAAAATAACGTCAAAAGAACGTAACAAGACTACTCTCACTACCTTGTTGACTTAGTGGGACTAGCTGAGCGACCTTAGCGTCACAGTGGGCCATTGCGCGCTCTGTGATTTCCACAACCATAGCAAAGACAGTTTCTTGCAGTGAGAAGCAGAAATCCGCCTGAGTATATTCACCAGATCGAAGGAGTTTGGGTGCGCGTTCCTTGAGGTAGGAGAGGATACCCGCGAAGGAAACGTCCATGCCCTTGACCGCGTAGGGCAACTCATAAAACTTCTTACCATTCTTAGCCGCTTGCTCAATGTTGTAGCCGGGGCTGGGGTCGTTGGAGAGGTTAATGATACGGGCAAACCTGCAGTGCACGGAAAACGTCCAAAATATCTTGGCGATGATTAGAATGAAATCTAAGTAAAGAGAGATGAAAGTGCTACCGATCAAGACAGTTTCCAAGAGCAATGTCCAGAGTTTCACCAAAGATGCGGTAGCGTCCACTAGAGTAAGCGATGACCTGAGAGTTGCCACCGCTGACGTAGAGCACGATAGGTGACTTGGCACCAGTTACAAGACGTCCCATTTCGATGTGGGCAACACAATGGTTCACCCCAATCAGCGGCTTATTCCACAGCTGACTCAATACGCGTGCTACAATCGCAACTACTTGCAATGGACCACCCATTCCCGGGCCCTAAAGAAATGAAAAGTGTGTTGGGTACTAAAGGTGGAGCACGAAATTGCTATCAATCCGTCACGAGTATTAACGTCATAATCAATTCAGAACCATTCCTGGCCCTGGTTTACAATATACCTCTCTTGATCACTACTCCAGAACCAGAAAAAAGCATTCTTTTGTAAAGAAAACCTCTTTAAGGAAACGTAAAGCTCTTATAGGACAATTTAGAGGAGGTCACTGACTCACCTTGGTATAGGCAATAGCATCCAATTCATCACCGTTTACGTTGGCCTCCTGAAGGGCTCTTCGAACAAGTTTGACCACGTGGGCGCGATGATGGATTGCGGTCTCTGTCGGCTTAAAACCCTGACCAGGCGGAGTAACGTAGGTAACACGAGGGTTAGAAAGCACCTTACCATCTCGAATAATACCGACACCCAGCTTATTAGCGCTCCCTTCCATCCCCATAATCAACACCATTCCGAATAAGAGTAGGCCTGTAGACATATTTAGAGCAGATCATTAAAAAGTAATTATTAATTAAAGTCACAAAATTGAATCGACAGCCTCAAATCCCTCGTGCCGACATCAAATAAGGACTGGAAACTGAAAACCAAAGTTGATAGATAAGTGATTATCTACATACCTCATAAATCTGCCAAATGAAATAAAAAAATAAACACCTTAAACCTCACAAAATCTTGAGATAAATGACTATTTTCTAGATATGAGGACGGCAAAGCAGCCCAACTTTCCAGCTGTGGCAAACGAATAAGTGAAATGCAGCACAACACAACAACAACCAGCGTACCACTCGGTAAACGAAGAAGATAAAACACTGAAGGAGGCATTTTTTGCATACACGTATACAAAACGAACACTGAGAGAGGAACTAACAGACCAGTTAAGTTAATGCTGGCGCCGAATGCTCTTCCGATGAGAATGAGAGACAGTGCCTGTGCTTCCTTTAATCGATGAAACAGGGGTTGGAGGAGGCATTGAAGCATCCTTATCAGTAATAGAACGCATTGATTTTCGCGTCCGTTTAGTGGACGGTGGTGCAGTTGGTAAAGATAACTGTGGGGAGGAGACAGAATGAGGCGAGATTGACGGTGAGCTAGTCGCAGGTGTAGATGGATTCTCTTCAGACAGCATAGTAGGCTTGGCAGTGGGATCCAAAACTTAAAGTGACACAAAAAAACGTAGATCAGGCAAATACTTCTCATCACTGCATAAATAGAACATCTCTAACCTGATTTAGTTTTGTGTCTACTGGGAAGTACAGTCGACGACGTATGTGAAATACAACCTGTTGATAATGCTCGAGGGAAGGGGAGAGATTTAATGTCCTTGAATTCATCAGGAAGAGAAAACTCTGATGGTCTGTGAGGGTAAGGAATGACTTCAGATTCATTCTAATAAAAAAAATGTACAACACCCATAGAGAAGATGAAAAGATTACTTACAAGCTCTTCTAAATTATACAGTTTCCTCAAGTGTTCCCATATGGCCTTTATAGAGCAGGACAAATTTTCTTTAACTTGCAATCGGTGAGCAAGACAAATCATTTGGAAGTTCCGATCTAGACCAACTGGTTTAAAAGACATTAACCCATGAAATAACTTGATTTCATCGTCAAGAGACCAAGACATAATATCAATTTAGTACACTTGTAACTCCCACATCAAAAATCTATGCATTATAACAAGTGTGGTTGTCATTTTAGAAAATCGACATGCAGCTTTGCTCCGTTCAAATCGTTTGCTCTTTGTGCAGTGAAGGCGTGTTTTATGGCATGCTATATATGAAGTGGTATTTTTACTACATACTCTAAACCAGACGACAGGTATATATTCATGAGGAGCAATAATATGTAAAAGCACATCAATTTACTTTACTATAAGCTTTTTTAATTTTTTCCTGACTCGATATTTGTGTCTCGCTTACAATGAAATATTGCCACCAGTGTAGCGCCCCGAGAATTCTCGCCGAGTGTAAAAAGTTAGTAAGTGATGGCAGATGCATGTATTCCAAAGGAGACAGAACAAATGGGTCCATGCATGTCCTGAAGGCCAGCCCACGAATATTAAAGCGACTATCAAATGTCATTTAGTCACATCAAGAAAGCATTGCAACCTCACTGATCCATAAGTATCGTCGGTTTTCCTCCTTTTTAAACTTTTTATTTAAATTAAAACCATGGTTTCCAGTCCGAACATTTTCATTTTTGTAAAGAAAGATTAAAAGTCACTTGAATGCACTTAGCTAGATCGAAAGAAAGCTGTCAGTATCCTCACGTTTGAAGAGAACTTCAATTTGCGGAAGCAAAGTGACCGCCAAATGTGCTGTCAATCATGCTGACAATCTAAAATAGGCAATATTACACTCGCTGCTCCAATAGCCAAATACAAATCTTTATCTGCAGTCGAACGCAAAGTTATCACATCAAGCGTGACATGGGTTAACTTAGAAATTCTCATTTTACTCAATCGCTGTCTTCAGACCTATTGTGTAAATCTGTGTTTACATAATAATGGTTTTGCGGTATGTTTCGTAAAATATTTTGTGTGTGTTAGCAAAAATGTATTAAATATTGCGTAGGACCGCTTGCTTTTATTTTATTATGCGGCCTTTCCATCAGTATCGTCCGAGTCTCCTCATGCTATTTTCTCTGGAGGCTGCTTACTTTTGTGAGCTTAATTGAGAACTGCGTAGAGCGTACAATATGTGATACAGGGAATGGGAAAGCTGGTGCTCATAACGGCCCGGAGACTGAGTTAACAGCTCCTTGAGAATGTGTTGGATTTAATAATCGGTCTTTTCACTACGCAAAACAAATTTCAATCAAATCTTCACTTTTGCGATCCTCTTGATTTTGTCTGGTGGGCTTAACTTGTCTAAATATATGTACTTAGCAAATCTTTGCGATTTCTGCTGTCAACTGGGAATTCCTTGGTTGCATAAGTGAACTTCTGGTCTCGGTTTTATTCGCTTAGCTGCTTCTATGACCTATTCTGTTGCGCTAACGTCACGTTCACGCCAGAAGTCTCAGTAACTATCGGGTCAAGCATTATACCTTCGTCTTCCTTAAAATATGTGCTGTCGTCCCGTGTCTTCGCTGCGACCATTGAGAGTAAGTGGTACAGAGTACCGGATTAATTGATGTTGTCGCAACTACCGTCCCCTTTTAGCTCAATCAAGGGGTTTTTGTCCCCTTCCTCTCCCCTTTAATCGACATATAGGCGTCGTGTTGGTAACCACGCCATAATCAGTGTTTTGTGAAGAATGCGCATTGACAAAGCGCTTGGACTTTAGGGTTTCGCACAATATGCCCCAACTTAGTGCTGTCCAGCTATCTATCTATCTATCTTTTTTTCCTCAGGTAGTAAAGCGCAGAATTATTTCTCGTTCTCACATTCGTTTGGTGTCGTTATAAGGGACTCTTTGATGTGATTCACAGACATTCATCTGTTAAGTGATACTTAGAGCATCACAGGACTGGGGTAGATTGTGAAGGCAAATGACATTACCATATCTGCCAGTCACATCACAAAGCCTGTTTTATCACCCAATCGTCGAGATGAGGAGGGAAATTCTGTTTAAATCGGAGTCTATTTCTGTTGTGTTAGATGCTGGGCCACTGAAATCCCTTGGAGGAGAAAAGAAACGCAATAAAATGGTAAAATATGCAGTGCCTTGGTGGATAAGCGCTTACCCGGAAGGAGTAAGTTACCTAAAAACAGTCTATCGCTTCCGGGGATCTTGCCTGCATAAAGTGTAGGCAAGTTGGCAGTCTCCTTTAGTTCGCGGCATATTCAATGGATAAAATAAGAAAATTTGACGACAAATGCAGGAAATGGCTTAAAGCCACTAATTATCGTAGTGATTACACCCATCTCTCATCTACAGTTATGGAGCTGGTGTCAAAAGTCACCCGTGAAGGTATAATTTACGTTTAACTGTAACCACTAGTGCAATTCAGGAAATTAGTGAACGACAACTTCACGACACGTGCCGAAGCCGAATACTTCTCTTGGGTCCAGGGCTGGGTGTAGCAGGGCGCACTAATGCACTACCTTTTGTATGTCACTCTTCACCTCGGCAGCGGTCATAGGACTGTCAGGAGGCTAAAACTCAACTTATAAGCTCTACTGTCCATAAATGCGTTAACAATATGCTTTACAGTAAGTGCGCACAATGGCGAACTCTTGACCTCCGTAATGGCCGAGAGCAGTGTAAACTCATGAATAAAAAACCTGGAAAATTGGCAATGGAAATCACCTAAGGCCACCTTGTGCGCAGTTTACCAGCGCCGGCGCTCATGTGGAGGCAATGATGCCTTAAGGAAAACACTAAATGTTCTTTCGATCCAAACAATCAGTTAAATCCACTAATGGAGCAATAACTTGGGAGATGGAGTCTAACTTCACATCGAATATGTGCCAAATATGTTGCATATTTCCCACAAATATATTCAAGATGCCAATGACCCCATTATGACCATTCCTACGTGAAAACACAGCAAAGCTCCTTCAATAATTTACTGATTGATATATTTTCCATTGATTTTTCGCTACTGCGAAACTCTAAAAATTACCCAGTTGTTCTATTCTAACAAATGCTGTAAATGAATGCTATCGCCTTAGTAACCGCTTCGTAGAATAATTTTACACCTATTTACTTCTTCATGAGCCTTTTTTTACTCGTACGGAAGTTAGTTTTATTATTACTTGTGTCGAATTTTCTAAAATGCTATTGTAGAAGGAATTTGACAACTTCTGTAATGAAGTGAACATTGATTGCGTGGCTGGAGGATATAAAAGATCGTATCGAGGTTTCTATCAAATGTATTTCAAAACTAAGAGAATATGAATGAAATCTTTGGGACTCAATGTGTTACTTTTACAAGTCATTTAAGCTTGCAATTCGATCTTCTAAAGACTTGCCGGTGTTGAGCAGGAGTGTTCTTCGCTTTCCTGCAGGTAGGCTTCTTTGAAGGTCAGACATTGAGGGAAACGGAGGGTTTTGTTCTGTGACACTCTCCGCCTCCTGCTGTTGAAGCACTGCACTGCTTCGGCAATTTTCCATTTGAGTCATATCTGCCTCTGGCTCGTACGGGTTATTGGACTCCCTTCTGTGCGACGTGCTTTCGGTCCGATCAACACTTTTGCCTAAGTGTGCATGATTTTTTGTTCCATTCTTCGGCACCTCAATGTTTAGACGATCCTCGATCATCTTGGAGTCCCTGTGGCTCTGACGTTTCTTCTGCTCATATTTCGTCCTCCTCCTCCTCACATCAGTTTGGCTATCCTCCACGTTAATTTCGTAAAGTGCCGTCATTGATTTAGACCGATGTTTGCTAGAAGACTTTTCTCGAGTTTCCACATTCTCCTTGGGAGGAGAAGAGTTAATTTTCTCCGAAGATTTTTTGGGCTTCGAATAATGCCTATTTTCCACATCTTCTGAGTTTTTTGGCTAAAAGGGTAAAAGACCTATAAGTTAATTGTTCGTGCATGTATTGAACGCATTCCCTCTGTTTACCGGGCTTGTTTGAGCTAGCAGGAGGTCAGTGACCCCGTAGATAAGTGCTGAACTGGCAGAAACCAAGTTGGATCATGAGTGTGAGTCTTTTGCTTTTAACTTAACACACTGAAGTCTTCAAGTCTCCTGTTGATGCCCAATCGCCTTCGTGATTATCACACAGAACATAATACAATCACGAGGCTGCCTCAATGTCACTCTTGTGCGATACAAAACTCTCTCATAATGCGAACCTCGTAAGATCCGTTGAAAGAAGGAAAAATAAGGGCTAAATTAAAAAAATTGGGATACCTGAAGAGATAAAGCTTTTAGTTTTAATGCTTTTACTTAGTACAGTTCTGTGAATGATAATTCCTGCTGTGTGATGGAGTTTTTTTGTGAATGAAACTTGCTCACTTCACGTCTAGTAGGGAAGATGAGTTAAAGGCATGTGATAGCCCATGTCATCGGCTACAACAGGTGGCAGATGACTTTTAATCTTTAAAGATGTGATAGGTGTTCCCTAATTGAAGTAGCCTCTTTACGTCACCCATTGCATCCCACACCTACACACACAAAATCGTTGCAGCATGTCTGAGTTTGTGTGTGAGTGGATGTGCGATTTTGTGTGTTCTAAGATCACTAAAAAGGAAACATCTCAATTAAGGGAAGCCAAAGTTGGCTTAAAAATAGCAACCTACTGTCCTTACTTTCCAAAATCGAATTGCAAGTCGCTTGAAATGTCACAGTTGATAACAAATGTCACTTCAGTGGGTACAACAAACTGCAAGCTACGCAGCAGCACTTGAGTGCTTCAGCTCTCAAGATCCCGCCGATATAAGAGTGACAATGATGGATGAGAAAATGTACTTTGACAGTGATTCGAACGGATTTTTGCAAAGGAATTTAACCGACGTGTAAGTATAAAATGGATATAAATTTTGCATCGCTTGCTGAAAAAAAAACTACAAGAACGGATGAACTTTAATAGGGGTTGTAACCCACATAATTTGTTATTGCAAAATGAGTCTATGGGGAGATTTGCATAACATTTATCCCTTTATAAATATTTTAGAAAGGTCAACGAAATCATGCTTACGGTATAGTTGAGTAGCCAACTTTTGCATTTGTTATAAGAAATGTGAAAATTACTGTCATTTAAAAAAAGAAATAAAACTTACTATCACCTCATAGATTCCACTGAGACTAGGTCTTCTTTCTATGGCTAAAATAATATTTGTGGTCTATTAACACAAATAAATATGGATTGCTACGATCAATCAAATTTTAAATTATGCTTAAACGAGGGTCAAATTTAGTGTCTTAAAAATGTGACTAGTCAGCACAACTGAAGTCATAGCATCAGTTAAAAAGCCAGTATCTTAAAAAACTTTCGTTAAAAACAACTGCATATGGATATTCGAAAGTTGGATCCATTCAAAAAATAGAAAACCCACTGTTACGAGTAGCTTCATCAAATTTGCTTGCCTCATCCTTCCGTGGTTTGCGAGTCACCAAAACCATGTGATGGTTCAAGTTATGTATCACTTGGCAGACCTGCTCATGTGAGATGTTTTCTAAAATAGTTACCAGAAATCGGAAGAATGATGTCAGGTTCTCCTAAATGGCTTGAAATATATAGCAAAAACCACTCATAATGTGCACTAATAAAGTAATCATTGCCAAAATCGTAACATTTACTTAATAGTTTCTAATTTCTACTCAATTTAAAGAAGTAAAGGGCTTACCGCAGGGAACGCGATTTATTGTTACAACTATTTCATTGATTTTTAATCCAGCTTTCGCCGCCGGTGTGCATTCATAAACACCTGTTATGTATGTGTGATTGTCAAGGGTCGTAATCTTAAATCCCCATTGATCAGAGCCCCGACCTCTGTAAAGTTCGTACCTCGACGAATCACCACCTCCCATATTCAAAAAAGCAAGTAGCAGCTAAAGTGACTTAATCTATCGAACCGAATAGGTTAAACAAGCGCGTCCTCAAGTGTTATACAGGCATCAAAAAATTTATAAAATAAAACTACATAATTATCTAATTATTCACCCTTTTTAATTAGTATAAATTAAAATGATAATAATGTTTTAGGTGTTTATATATTAAAACCAAGCCAACAACCCTCACGTTTGAGCTCTCCTGGATATTGTTTAAAGGCGACTTTAAAGTGTAGAGTATAGGAAAGTGTATAAGTCTACCAAGCATTCAAGCCAGAATTTGAATAATTCCGGTGTATCGTTTCGAGACTTCTTAGCCGGTATAAAGTCAATATGTGCAGCTGCATACATGTACACTGAAGACGACAGTGCAAATGGGACCTGAGCGTAGCCCGAAGGCCAGCCCACGTGTACAGAGACCAGACGAGTCCTCAAGTGACCGCTATACGTCCAGCAATCACGTAAAAAAAGCATTGCACTGCCCCTCTCTTCTTTTGAGCGGCGTTCTCAGCGCTCCCCTTGGTACATCTCCCTCGCCACCAATTACAGCATATTCGGTACTATAAGGAAGTACCCACGAGCAAACCGCGCCAGTCGACAATTAGCATCAGACTAAGGAACCGTATCTGGTCTCCTCGGCAGCTTC